AAATGGACAGAAAATTATCACAAATCACCATGTGATGACTCAGCTACAACGCTGTTTGTTACATGTTCTGATGTTGGCTTTCCTTTTAAAATGGACAAACAAAAAGGAATAGATGCCTGCATGTCAGAATGCATACAGAAGCAGAATAATTAAAAAGTATGCTGATATACTGAGAAGGAAGTAAAATTCTGCCTAAGCTAAATTTGGGTATACAGAGAGAAGCTTTTAAACTTTAGCGAGTACCTTCAGATTAGCTAGAAAATAGCTTTAGATACCAACAGCTGAAATACGCTTGTTTCTAAGTATAGAAGTTTGCATGCCTTGGGGGCTTTGTTTTTGACGAGCCATCCACTTTTTTGCAGAACAATACAGTGAAAATATCGCAATAAGACAACCTGCCTCTGCCTCAGTAAGCTTATCATTATGTTCCCCGTGTGGTTTTTCAATCACAGTTTCCCTAAGTCCAGAGGCTGATCACTGGGCAACGAGTAATTAGCCCAAACTAAACCACCTGATCCAAGTTTGTCAGGTTCTTCCATATCCCACCAGGATGGATGCCCACAGACCCCGGAAAGAGGGCAGTGTCACGGAAGACATTTTATACCGGGTTTGGTGTCTTCACACCTACCCCTTGAGCTGGAGGCAACTCATATTAGACAGGCTCCCTCTAAACGACACTGAGAATGCAAAACCAGTCAGATATGGAGCAGCATAAAGCATTAGTTGTAGAGTATCTTTTCATCCAGGGTTAGATCAGTTTCCCTGATGGTTTTGGCTTCAGTTGAGTGGAGAAAGTCTTTCTCTGCTCTATGGACACCACAGGAGAATCAGCTGCAGAAGTCCATGAGGTCTTTCCTTTTGGCCCCACAGATATCTGGGGCTAGATTGCTTTTGTTTAGTGAGGATTCATAACTGAATTTGGGAAGCATTTTTCAAATTTTGCATACATCTAAACTGTTCATATCTCTAGTGATTACTAGGGGAGCCTAATGAAGCTACACTGAGCATATCCCATGTTTTATCCTCATGGATAAGGTTCCAAGATAGATGCATGTATTACTTCGAAGGCACTTGCTTTTGTGGCAAATACATTAATTATTTATCTATATACTTATAGGGAAGCAAGAATATATATGCTGAAAGAAAAAAGTGTTAAGTATTAGCTTCATTAATAGCTCATGAAGTGGCAAATTTCCAATTCCTGAATGAAGTGAAAATAGAATCAGCCAACACTAATTCCTATAGCTGTTTGAAGTTAATATATGCATCTGATGAATCACAAAAACATTCATAGAGTTGTGAATTTGCATTTAAGCTACGGAATACTGTTGAAAAACCCCTCATTTTTGAAAGGTACTTTAACTTCCATAGGTCTTTCAAGGGAATTAGAATCATAGGATCATAGAACAGTTTTGGCTGGAAAAGACCTTCAAGATCATTGAGTCCAACCCTTTCCTAGCCCTATTAACACCACTAAACCATGTCCTTCAAGGCAACATCTGCCCGTCTCTTAAACACCTCCAGGGATAGTGACTCAACCATCTCCCTGGGCAGCCTGTTCCAATGCCTGACAACCCTTTCAGTAAAGAATTCAATTATAATCTGATATTTCTCAGATAAAAACCTGAATTCTTAAAGCAGTACTTTTCAAATCTTTTACATGGAACATCAATGTTTACTCCTTAAAAAGAAATGAAACTATCTAACATCCCAAAAAAGATGGTGAGCACAAACACGATTGTCATTTGAACAATGCACTGTGCTCCTGACAAGTACTTTCACCACATAAATGACTTCTACCTTAGTATTTTTCTTCTACTACACCCATTACTGTAATACACACTTTCCGGATGGACTTTAGTGTTGGACAGAGCCTGAGGAAACAACAATTTTCAGTTCAAAGTTTCCACACTTCCCCTTTTATCAGCTATTATATGATTTACTTGCAAAATAAAAGCAAAATAAGGATTTCAAGCTTCAAAATATCCTCACCGTATCCATTATAGCTTCTGGACCTCTATCTTCTTGTTCAGCTAAAGCTTTATTGATTGCTTGTACAGAATCTTCCTTTAAGTGCTTTGAAATATCAGTTCTTGATGGCTGCTCTAAATATTCTGGTTCTCCTGCTTGAACTTAGTGACAGAAACAAGATAATGTGTTACCATGAGCACGATTTTTGAATTTATTAATTTTATTTGGATCACTGTCTTATAGATAAGGTAGCCCACCCAGAAAATGCAGGGTACGTGACACCATTCGCAAATACCATTTTCACCAGTCTGTCTCAGGTAATTTTGAACACTTTTATATAAATGGACCCACGATTTTATTTTAGGAACAACAGACCTGTCCCATCTATAGACCCATTAAAGTTCTTGAGTGAGAGACCTTTATTGCTCCCATGGGGGATTAATAAGAACAGCAATGAGATTCTACTTGGACATTCTGTGGGATACAGACCAAACGTATTGAATGACCTAGAGCCACCTGAATGCCAGATGTATTTTTACTTTGCAATATAATCAATATATTATATTCTTCTGACTTACAGGAAATCACAGAGTCACTCCCATTTGAAAGCAATAAAACTGATCAGCAAAAATAGTGTCTTATATACCTAACACAAATCCATCTTGTCATCTCTCACCTCATGTACATACAGCCTTCTGAAAAGGAGCAGAAGGCGGATGTAACCTAAAACCTGACATTTTTTTGTGTCAAAGCAGACATACCTTTTATAGTCAGATTGCCAGTGGTCTTTATTAGCTAGATTTTTAATAGCATTGGCCTCACTGCTGCTGTTCAAAGCCCTTTCCACAGTTTTAACGCTCATTTTTACACAGTAATTTCTTAAGTGGGCCTTAATATGGCTACTTCTAGTGAATACAACACACTAAATAAATTCTTCTCTTCAGATCTAAATTCTGTCCTAATTAAAAATGAGAAGGTAGGTGTTCTACTCAATCACTCTGAATAGAAGAATACACATCACTTATGGACTAATAAATTCTCAAAACAAACTGGTGAGACCTGTTAATAATTACCTAACTTAGAAGGCCAAAGTTTCTACACAAAAAAAATTTATTTAGTCAAAGCTAAGCAAAACTGAGAAGCAAGAGGCAGAAGAGCCAATAAATATTTTTTTTCTCTAAATAGAAAATAAAATGGAAAAAAAACAAAACGCCCCACACCAACAGACTAAACTTCAAGTACAGTTACTTTGGACAAGTAAATAGTTACAATTCAAGATTACACAAATAAACTTCATCCTTTCTTATTTTGCAAAACAATATATACAAAACCCAGTGATTTTTGGTTCTACTTCTTTTACAAACAAGAAGAAACTAACCTGGAGCAGGTGATGGTGCTGGTGCCCTGGGTATCTGAGATAATAATTTTTCCTGCTGTGCTTTCTGAGCAAGTTCTGCATCCCATTCTTCGAGTTCTTTTTCAAAACGTTTATTGTCTTCCTTGACATAATCCCTTAGATCAGAAGGTAGCGTGTCCATTCCAACAAGGATCTGTCCCGTTTCTTTGTTAAACTCCTCTGCAGTAACAAGAAACAAAAGTTTCAGAAAAAGAATGAATAGGGAGAAAAAGCATATTAACAAATTACCTCAGGGGTATTACTGGAAACATACAGTATAGCACTAAAACTCCCAAACCACGTTACTTTTAACAACTAGTTTTATCTATTGAGCACTCCCCTTCTACAGAAGCGAATGGCTACTGCTCTCGCAATCTTCGGATTCTATGTTTTTAGGCACCATCAAATCATTGTCATTTTGAAACTTAATGCCTTTTGGGCCACAAGCACCCTATGACTGTGAACATTCAGAACAGTAAGTCACAAAAAACTCACCACAATTTGCCATATGGACCTGAATACAACTCAACTCCCCAGCAGAAAAGGGGAAGGAGAGTGGGCCTACAGGGATTTAGAAAGTCAACTGCTAACAGCACAAGCCACATTAAGTTATATTCCTTTTCTCACAGCCACCCTACAGGGACTAGAAATCCTATGGCTGCAAGTCCACTTGGCAATACGACGATGTCAAGATTAATACTGGTTCTCATTTAAAAACTAAAAGAACGCACAGTCTAGCTTTCTGCCCTATGGAAATAAAGGAACGTGAAAACTTTCCACCACCTGTTAACTGAATCTGTGGTCATTTTCACAATCCACTCTCTAGCTGTCACTATGAGGCCCCACAAAACTCATGTTAAGGGATCTTTGCCCTCTCTCCAAACACTTCTGTACAAGTCTTATAGTTACACACTACTACATGACCTGAAAAAAAACCCAAACAATCCATATATTGCTTTGGTTAATTGTGTGGTTGGTAGGGTTAGGTTATACACATTTCACTACACTGCAAAATCTTCAGGTTTCCATGCTCCAGTAACTTTCAGAGTTCTGAAGTTTATGAACACACAAAAAAAGCTACGTGAGGATTTTAATGTCAAGAGGATCATTTCTGTATTTCCGTATTTATGTTCTAATGTTCAGTGAGATAACATCTCCAAAATTCTGAACATGTGATCATCTGGCTAAAAGGTTTAAAAATTAGTAAACTTAATTTATTTTACTCTCTTAATAATGCTGAAATACTGACATTAATTTTATTAATTTAGAGTTGAAGAGCAACTGTTCCACCCACCACATAAACCAGGTAACAGTTATGAGCTTTCAACAATTATTAAAATTTTAAAAACCTGGAAATCCATCTGAAAGAAGCTTCCTTTATCAATATATTCAGCTATTACATATCATGCGTAAAACATATCCATAACATTACCTTGTATTAAGAATTGTTCTTTATCATTGATATACATTAAACAATATGCACTAAACCACCAAAAGAGTCCCGCTCCAACTCTTCCCAAGTTGACTTTGTCACAGAAATATCATTGTATTTCATCCATCTGTTCTGGTGATGGTCATAAATATATGCCCAGTAGTGTCCTGCATTAGCTTGACCTTCGTGAACTAGCACAGCATGCAACCTATAAGGAACCTTAAAAACAAAAATAAAATAAATAAAAAAAAATAAATCACACACACCAAAATGTCAAATGCTCCTTGCCAGCACGTTTTACAACCTGACAGAATAATTGCTATATTAAATAAAAGTAACAAAAATAAACAGGATTAAAACATGACACAGAGGAAAAACAAAAAGGTAAAACTGGCAACCCACTAAGCAAAAGGACTTTGAACTATTTTACTTATCACTAATAGTTACAAGACATCTTAAAAACATTTGTGAGTTTAGCAGCATAAAAGTCTGGTCTCCTGTCTTTACTGCTAAGCATTGTCTTAATTCCTTAATATTTCTACTTTCCTTATACCCAAAAAAACCCCTTTAAATACATCAGCCTTGAGTGTCTATGATTTGCTCCAGTTCTGGACTGGCAAACTTGTCCTAAAGTCTAGCATATAAAAATTCAAGGTAACAAACTCTGCACTTCCTATATTGCAGTATGAGAGTTTATTTAAAGGATTATTTGGAAGTTGAATACTCCCATCACCCAGAGGTAACATTCTTACAGTAGAATAGGAATAAAACCATTTCCAGTATTTTAAATATATCAGTAAAAGCATTGCTAAGAGATGTATGAAACACATGAAGACACTCTCTTCTCCTGAGGCAGAGAAGGAAGAAACCAGTTTCAAGGATCAGTGTAGAAAGCATCGGAGATTACATGTGTTCACTGACAAACAAGAAGAATGGGAAACTTAGTTTCTGTGTAAGCAGTTGGGAATCTGAAGGAGAGAGAGAAGCAGAACGAATGAGTGTTTCCTTATTTACAAGTCTTTTAAAAGGATCTTAGCGATCGGCTAGTTTTAATCTGCTGAAGCAGCACATACAGCATAAAAGTGAAAGCTGTTCTTCCCTGCCATGCACAGTATGCCTGAATGGCAACAGCTCAGCTAGGATGAAAAACCTGAAAATATCTCTTGCTGCTTTCACTGTCTGGACTGTAGATAAACAGTCTAATCAACACAAGGTGTACTAAATATTTCTTGCAAATATCATCTGAGCACTGCAGTAATCAGTAATGATAAATACATATGTAAATATGACTTGAAAAACTCTTTGAAGTTATTTTAAACCTGATCATTCCCTTCCAGGCTATATGCAAGTGCCAGAGATTTTGTAACCCTGCCTTGAACTGTAAAGCTGACTGACTGTGCGGCAGCTGGAATCAAATAGTCTGTCATCCCAGAGACCCAACCACACTGTAAATCTCCCAAACACAAGAAGTATATACAGAAGAAATCCTAGCAAGTCCTTAAATCTGAGTGCTCTGGGGCTTTAAACATCTGTTATCAAAACAGCATGAAAAAGGCTTCTTAAAAATGATTGCCAGCCCATGCATATGCACATAAATATATGAAGATCCCGATTTTTAGGGGAAATAAACAAACAAACAAAAAAAGGTAGGTGATGCCTCTTTATACTTTGACAATAAAATTTTCTCATCCTACAACTGAGCATTAAAATCCCAAGTGAATTTAAATCACTTGACCAAAACCCATGCTAACGGGATCAGCTTGACGGCCCCCTACCCTTTTGTCCAGCTCTGAAGGAAGAGCTGTCAGCTGTCCGTGCTGAGCTTCCAGAAAGGTTGTCCACAGAGGTCTGTGACTGGGGGCAGGTGAGCTCAGTGCCAAGAGGCATCTCTTGTGATAAACCACTACATCAACAGTAAGTAACAGTAAACAGCAACACAACGTTGCTAAATAGTTGGGATTAACCTTCTTAGCTTACATTTACTTCTCATAAAACATAAATGGAGCTTCATCAACCTCATCATATGTAGCTACCGAATAGATATACCAAAGCCGAATTCCCACAGGAAAAACTGGTATGTCTTATTTCCCCACAGCAAATTCACAGGAGGGAAATAATCAAATAAGCAGCTGATAAAAGCTATTCTTCGAGGTGGACAAGACAAAACAAGAATTTGGGGAATATATTTCATATGACAATTTGACAAAGGTTTTATGGACAACTCTAGTTTCCTTAGAATCAAAGGAGACACAAGGGAGAAGATGGAGAGCTTCTTAAATAGTTCACATGAACAGTAGAAAGTATCCTGAAAATATAATACATTTTCCTTAAGAAGTCTTGTTTTATGTGCTCAGACCTCTTCAACTAACAAGAGAAAAGCTTTCAGTCCTAATATTGAATCATTCAGAAGAAAACATCAAAATCGTGAAACTCCTCTCAGAGAATGGGACAATACAAAGCTATCTAATCACCCTGATGCAGAGGAAGGCAGGGGAAAGTAGACATCTATATAGACTTGCCTCCTTCCTACTGTGCCAGAAGAACCACAAGGACAAAATCAGCTGAGCTGCAGAAACACAGCCTTTGCTTCCAGCCTGTGACTTCAGATGGGTTCAGTACCTACTTGTTCTCTAAAAATCACTTAACACACCACCACTTTCAGGAATGGCATAGTAACTCTGTTACATCCTCCTCCTTCTCCAGAATTGTTTCAAAACAAAAAACCAACCACAACGACAACAAAAAATATCTAGTCTGCATTATATAAATCTGCACTAGGACAAAGTGTTTTACTAAGTAATCTCTTTTTTCCATTTTAATGATTGCTGACTAATGTCTTTGCCATCCAGAGGTATTTCCTCCTATATCACCTAAGCCAACACGGGTAGGCTATCTAGATGGGAGATCACTAAATTACTTCATTCTACTATTAGATGACACAGCACCTGTAGTCTTCCTGGTATAACACAGAAGCAAGCTTAAAGAGAGCCATCCAGGAAAGTCTTCCTGAAATCCTTAACATCATAGTTTAGCTGCCAGGAACTATTGCAAACCATGTACAAAATACCTCAAGGAAAACTAAGCTACACAGATCTAACTTGGAAGGAAAATAGGTTGGTTTTTTTTTACTAGCAGAAAGTAACAGAGGAAATAACCCTCGACCTTACAATCTGTCAAAGGAAGTGAACATGAGTATGTGAACATAAGAAAAACCAGGAGGAGCCACAACTCTGTAATAAAGCATTCTAAAAATGCCATTCAGATTACACAGCATGGGAATCTCCCTAAAAGGCAGCTCAGGCTAACAGTCAAGGTTGTGACTGATACTAAATCTGGACAGAGTTTAAAAAAAAAAAAATCAAAAAAAAACAGAATAGCAGCAACAAAAAACCCCACTGGCATTAATAACTACAAAGTAAAACCAGGAGCTTGAATTACCAAGTGTGGAAGCTGCAATACACAATGGCAACAAGCACAGTAGTTTCTTGTGTCTAGTGCTTTTCCACCTTAAAGCCATAAGATTATCTATCACGTGGTCAAATCAGGAGAGAAAATTTTATTATGTTACACAAAAATGGAAGTTCTGCATTCAAGTCCAAAAAATGGATCAGAGATAGAACATATTCAAGTTTTTCATCAAAAAGTTGCTTAAACAAGTAAGTAATCTGTAAAATATTGCAAGGCTGTCTTTCATCTGACAACGTTTAAAATGTTTGCAAACCCTTTATGACTTTCCAATGAAATTTCTCAAACCACTATATATAATTGTTGTAAACTTGCTCTGTATTCAAGAATCTAAGAATGCCATTAAAAGTGACAAAAAGAACTACTTTGAATTCACTCCTGTACTTACTTGGACCATTGTTTTGTCAGAGTACATCAAGTCAATTGTCCGATGTATTCTAGATATACTTTCTTGTAAATCTAAAAGAAAAATAAAGAATCTCTCTTCCATGAGGCTGCACAACCGTACATGGCTACATCTTTATTTTATCTCATTAAAAGCCAAATAAAGGCTCATTTGTTTATCTATATACATGCCAAACATTAAATCTTCTTGGATGATAAAGCAGAGAGCGTGATTCACGATATTCTGCTCCTTGTTTCCTACAGCTCAACCCAAACCCACCCCTGCTGGAGCAACTGTTTCTCTTGTTTCCCTCAGAGCAACAGAACACACTGTAAGCTCTATCAACCCCATAAAGCCTTTGCTCAGAAACTTGCTGAATTTTCCCACATGGGAAGAGTCACTCTGTCCTGAACTTCACTGCAGAGAACCACGTCACAGCACAGGTCCACCTCACACCAACAGCTCGGGCACATCTGCAAAGATGTTCTTCGGCGTGAATCGCACACGTTTAACTCTACTTTCCCCAAAACCACACAAACAGAAACCTGCACTGAAACACCCGTGTACGCTTCACTCAACATCCAGTTCGCATCTTCAGTTTATACACCTCTAGTTTACTACAATCTCTGACTGACTTCCCTTTCTATGTGCTAGAGATAAGCACAGAAGCAAGAAACAAGCTACTCTACCCACACACGGGTGTTCAGGCGATTTCCCCCACTTCCACAAATCCCTTCTAATGGCATATGCACTCCCCAGCTCGTGGCATTACCTCTAGTGTCATTTTCTACTTCAGTCCTCCAGCGATGTAAACAGCCTTCTAGGACAGACAGCTCTTCCTCAGTGATGTGCCTTGGTGCCGGATGCATTGGCAGATCGGGAGGAATTCGTGATTGTGTGAATGGTTTATGTATTACTGATCTTTGTACAGGAGATGTGCTTGGAACATCTGAAGATGAAGGCCCCTGCTGCTCTACTGGGCTGCATTCATTCAAAACATGAAATACAAAAAATTTAATCATCACTCATACAAACTAAAAGCTACACCATAAAAATAAGCTTTTCATCTGAAAACAGAAATTTTAAAAGGTACTGATTACCTACAGTGTAATCCAGGAAAAGTACTTACAGTATCAAAATAGAATTAGTATGCAAGTCCTGAAAACTTTGTGGCATACTACACGTTAGCAAAATAATCGCTCTGGCTGCCATTACCCAAGATAAAGGAATCTGAACTGGATTGGTCAAGCCACAGCTTGCTTTACTTGACAACACTTTCATATAACACCACACTTCATATATTCAACACTTTCATATAACACCACACAAATAATCACTGTGGTTTGAAATATTTATTGCCAAATTGCAGAGAGAAAAATCACAGCAGCAGCTTGTCTTACGGCCCAATGACTCTAAAATCCAGTCTCTGCTTAACTTCTTCACATCTTACGCCTAGCAGACGTTCTTTCTCCAGCTGCCTACCTATAACCTACGTTAACTGAACAGCAACAACACAGGGACCTCTGATATTTATGACACAAAAGCAATTTAGCACTAAATCATCTAAGCCTGTTCGAAACCAGTCTTGTAAGCCAATCAAAAAAGTGGCAAGCTTAGAAGAATTCTACAAGAGCAGCAGAGTATTAAAAACAAAACTCCATTATACATTGACAAGATGACCTATATGTACTTATATGCATAACAGGAACATAAAGTTCTTTCTCGCAAGTCACTGACTTTTTACTTTGTGCACGGCATCATGACACACCCTGAGGAACCTGGATCCTTCAGTACTTTAGAAAGTGCTGAGAACATTAAGAGCTGACAATGTCACTCCATATAACATGCTGTTGTGTTTCTACAGACTGAGAAAAACAGTCACAATACTTATATTTTTACAGAACAAACTTCCTACATACAAGTTTGAACAAAGTATATTACTTCTGATATCGTTTTTCATGCAAGCAATGGCAGCTTTCAAAGTTCGTCTTCTCTTATCAATCATCCTGACTTTTACTGGCATTGTATCAGTAAGGCATTTGAAATCTTTTAAAAGCTTTTAGAGATTCATTTACTTGACTTCTCTGAACTACAAAGTTGACAATCTTGGATGGACCAGAACGCAGAACCCTACCTTCCAAAAGCAATATAAAAAAAAAAAGCTCTGCTATAAACTGTTAGTGTCCATCTAGCTAAGTCCTATTCTAAGCTATACTCTATTAACTAACAGTTACTAGCTTCAATAATGAGAAAAACATCATTGGACTTTTATCCCCCTGATGCTTTGGCTACTTTGTTAAGACTACTATGCTCCTGACAAACTTGGTGAAAAGTGTAAGCTGCAAAGCAGAAAACGAACTTAACTCCTGGGCAAAAATCAACAAATAAATCATTCACCAGAAACCCTGAAGCTCTGCAGCACATACACGCTGCCCAAAATCAGATTCTTAAAAATATATACTTGGGAAGCAGTGAGTTCACCAGATACTTTGTCTGCTGGGAACTGTAGGTAGACTTGTGCTTTGTTTGAAAAGAGTAATTTTCCATCTAAAGACATTTTTAAGCATGCATGAAACAAACCAGATTATTAACATTTTGGGGGTTTGTTTGGGGTTTCTGTTGTTTGTTTGTGGGTTTTTTTGTTTGGTTGGTTGGTTTATGTCTGTTTTTTTAAAAAGTACTTATAGGAAGAGAGTTGAAACTTCATGCTCCATCCCTTAGGAAACACCTAGCTGTACTCAGCTGGTGAACAAAGCAGTTAAACTTCCTCCCCTCTCTCTTAGGCGCCAGGTTTGCACAGAAGGAGGGGGTGACCGGCCTCTCACCTTGGGCGAGCAGGAGGCAGCCCTTACCTGGGCGAGGTCTGGGCCGGCAGCGTGCCGCTGGCAGGGGCACTAGCACCCAGGTCGTCAACAGGAGACGTGCACACTGGCTTGCTGGAAGCGAACTCCAAGGCGTACTGCAGGACATCTACCAAGGGGAATCGTTTAGGACCAGAACCATAGCTTAAATATCTGTTAACCATAAAATGTATTAATGCCATGACTCACATATACCACATTAAAAAAAAAAAGAAAAAATTTTTTTCTGGTTGACTGCAATTACATAAAGCAAGCCTTTCCTAGCACATCTCATGCATCAAAATTATTGCACTTATGCACAGTTTCCAAGGAAAATGATAAAAGAGATACAGAAGGGAAATCTAGAGCAAATAACTACATAAAAAGTGTAGAGTTGAAAGGAATTATTCTATGCAGCCCATAATATCATTTGCATTTACACAGTTATCTATAGTACCGTTCCAATCTCTGTTGTAAAACTGTGAGGTACTCTTTGAGTCTCTTGATTTCATCCCGTTTAATTCTTGTTATTTCTCTGTTTTTGTGCATATACCTGTAAAACATGAAATTTAGGAAAAGGTGTCAGCCCACACTATCCCAACACTGACAACGATGTCTGCATCCACCAGCAAGACCGCTTAGTGCAAGTAACTCAAGCTCTCTAGAACTTACAGCATAATAAAGTAGTAAAACAGACTGGAGAAACAGTAAGCCCATTAACCCTTCCCTCCCAAAACTTCCAAAAGATGTTTTTTCCACTAGTGTCAAAAGCTGTGTTTATGTCATGGATGACAAATTTGTATAAGAAAACTTCTAATTTGAGTGGCAACCACGTAGCAACATTCCTGTTTCATTATTTAGGCTCACAAATAACCTTCAACATCTAAATGAAAGCTATCATGGTATTTCATCTCTACACACAAAACAGCATGGACTGATGCTAAGAATTCTCTCCAAACCATGCAGTCTATCTGGAAGACCATAAAATATCTGACTTCTCACTCTCTTTCCCAAATGAGCCCACAAATCGTGATTTTTTCAGAGTATTTTGCCTGTGTACACAACTACCCAGCAATAAATTAAGACTGAAGTGTGAGCAGGTTTTGGCACAAAGCAGGATGTTGTAAATTGTTATCTACGTGTATTTTCTGAAACAGATGAAAATCATGAAATTTTTAACTTGTCTAACTAGAATAGAAGTTAACTGTGATGTAAGCACCACCAGCTTTACCAAACACATGAGATTTCATTTATATTTATACTAGGACTTTGTTGATAATATTATACTGTACCTGTCCAGATACAAAATTGGAGGAAATTCTAATTTGTTGTGTATCTTCTCTGGTCTCCCCAAAGCCTGATTAAACTCAAATCTTGATAGCTCAAAAGTTAAGACAGGAGGAAGCTCAGTGAACCAGTGCTGAACAAAAGAAAAACAGAAAACCCCACAATAAATGCCTTCCAACAGCAGAACTTCAGTATTATGGTACAATACCTGCAAGGCTGACACAGCTGTGGGAGAAATTGGTTTTAGAGGGTGGATCAGCTTAAGCTTTCCAAAGTTCCCATCCTTCCCCTTCACGGTAAACATAGAGCATTTGTCACCCATGCTGCATCAGAGCATTTCAACTCATCTACAGCTATCTGTGTTAAAGCTTCTTCCTTTCACATTTGCCTTGCTCATACTAAAAGCAGCTACGCTTGTACCTACCTGCCTTGCCAGCTGTCCTGCTCCCTTTTAAATCTTAGATGCCACTGAAAGGGTTGTTTACACTGTATCAAGCGCTCTTCCAGCTACTTCCCTCAGCCTCAAGTTTCGAACCCTTTCATTCACCTGATGTCACCCAAAGTTTCTAATGACCTCCTCCAAAGCTGGATCTGTGAGTACTCAGGGCTGGGCCAGACAAGCTCTCTCTGTGCTTTAAAACTGGTACTTTTTCCGCAAAGTCTCCTAACAACCTCTCCCGAAGTGTCTGCTTAGTCGCTAATCACTGCTAATCCATCCACACAATAACCCATGTTATCACCACCTTATCTCATTTTCTTCCAGTATTCAGTAGAGGTCTATCCTTAGTTCTCTTTTTTTATCTCCCTTACACACTTTTTTTCTCAACTACGAGAAAAATTCAGCTCCAATTCCAGCATCAGAGGTCCCTTTTTCTCCCCACTCTATAACATAAAACCCACTGTCTAAACATTTAATAGGTTTTAGATGTCCAGCCACCAACTTGAGCTTCCCGGATTGCTGCTGCAGACACCATCAGCACATATTTCTGATATCAACATCGATAGCCCAGATGTGGCATTTGACTCAGGGCTGGCTTCAAGCTCTCCTATCAAACCAAGCATCTTGCACAGTCTTTTTGTACAATACTTCCAAGACACCCTTTCCTTCCTGTGTCCATGGCTAAAATGCAGGCCCAAGTTCTCATCGCTCCACATCTCGGCAACGCTTCTTCTCTTCTCACCTTGCTCAGCCTTAGCGCACGTAGCCTTGTCACACTAACAGATTTCTGGGACATCGCTGAATTTCCTTAGCTCGTTGCCTTCAGCATCATTTCTCTCATCTGTGAGATGTGAGCAAAGGGAGTCACCTTCTGTTTTCCTGCCAATATCAGCTTCCACTAACTACAACCTGATCTAGTTAAAGAACTCCCTGCCCTACAGGAAGGATGGACGAGATGACCTTTAAAGGTCCCTTCCAGCCCAATGCATTCTATGATTCTATGACTAAGCTGCTGATGTATTGAAGTTCATCAACCATGATGCCGACAAACATTACCTTGTTTTCCCCACACTTCCAACTCCAAGTATGTACACTGACTTCCATCTTCTCTTGAACTTGGATTTAAGTTTCTTGGGACAGGGAACATCTCTTTTTTTGTTTGTATGTTAGCTCACTTGCTGACACCTTATCTCCATGGCTGTGGCTTTTAAGCATCATGATAATAATAGTAATAATAATAATAAGGAATGAACAAGCTAAATTCCCCACTAGAAACAATACTAGAGGCAAGGAATTAAAAATTGAATGTTACTTTCAGGATCTTTCAACACATGTGACTATCAGATTAATATTATTCTCCTCAAGTTTTGATATATACCAGATTGGATGGCACTCAAAGTCTTTGCTCTACAGAGATAGACTTCATTAAAACTACCAGAAATTCAGCTTCCTGCAGTACTTCCAAAACTTCCAACACATCGTAACACCTTTGAGGCATTATGTTTAAACATAACTACGAAGAGCAGCAATCATTATAAATAAATTACTTCAGTTCAGGGAAGTCTAACCAATTTACTTTACCCTGGTAATAATGCAATAATGCTTTTCTAAATTAGAACTTAACACATTACCTTTCTTGTTTTGCCACTGTTGTCAATCTGTCATGTGACTACTGCACTTGCATTCTGACATTCTAAGAAGTCAAGCTAATTAAAACCCTGAAAGTTTCACTGAACTCAAATCTTAACACTCTAAGACATGTACACGACTATCCTTCTGTTTCCCATAGTTTGCTGACATTACAAGTTAAGAAAACTCAAAACCAAAACCAATAAACTCTCCAAATCTGACATTTCTAGTCAAGCATTTAAAAATGAACTGACATGTTACGCATTAGTGCACACAGGTTTCAACTGAAAAACAACCTTCAGCCCATAGGATGAACAATTGTGTTCTTGTAGTAGACACGTGCAAGACTTCACCTTGCATAAAAAACGCAAACTCTGGATTGTACCAGGTCCTTTTTTCTCCCAGTTACATTCCAGGAAACATGCTCATTTTAAGAAGACATGTCTACAAGTGCCAGAATAAAAAAAAAAAATAAATAAAAAACTGAAACATCCCCTGAGAAAAGAATTGATCCAGTAAGATGTATAAACATACTTGAAAATGTTTGTTAGCATCTGATTTGTTTGATGAATATCAACAATAGCCAACCAGAAAAAAGGACTGCAAAAGGGATGCTATAAATCTTTTGTCGATAACAAAATCAGAAACAGAACTTCAGACTAGAGGATGACTTCATTGTGCATCACCTGGCTTAGTAATTAAACCTTGTGTGTGTGCTGACATGATTAAAGTAAAATTTCAATACTGCAAAAGAAGGAAGAAACTATACCTCAACTTTTCATTTAAGTAGAAAAATTGTTCTAAGATTTCATATTTAAAAAAAAAACCAGAACCAAACAAACATGAAGAAATGTGAACAATCGTGGAAAGAGAAAGTAATTCAGCCTTCATAGGCAATGGGGATACCTGTATTTTGTAACCTATGGAGCACTGGTGTGGAGAGAGCTCTGGCAGAGGAAAATGCTGGGCATACACATGCACACCCGCAACAGGAGGGGACATTTCAGAGCACATTTCTTGGTTCTGCAACCACTGTCAGTGCCAGTTAGCTCAGTGGTTTGAGCGCGGTGCTGGCAACAATGACCAACACCGAGGTCGCGGGTTCAGTTCCCGCTTGGTCCCCATGTGTTGCCTGGTCTAGTCGAGAGGTGGCATCCCTGCCCATGACAGGGAGGTTGGACTAGATGATCTCTAAGGTCCCTTCCAGGCTAGGCCATTCTATGATTCTATGATTCCTACTGCTGCAGCACTACGTATAATGTGGGAACTGACTGTAACTACCTCTTTTCCCTAACCATTGATTTCTGCACAGGAAACACCATTTGTCACCTCATCCCAACACCTGTATACCCCACGTCTTAGTGGGGCTCCATCTGAGTCCTTCCACCCATGCTTCCAGCACGTTCCGACATTTGGCAGCCTCCCACTCTAGCAAGAGTTCCCCCAGGAGGAACAGTAGCCCACAGAGCAAGGATTGTCTGTGCAGCACCCCAAGTAAAGACGAGGAGAATTGCCCACCGTAGGGCGCAAAGAGGAGGGTACTGGGAAGCATCAGTAAGAAGTGGGGAGAGGAAGAAGGCTAGGGTGCTGAGGAATGACAAGACACAGAGCAGTAAGACAAGGGTGCTCTGAAGCACTCAGCAAACGCACAGCTCACGGTGGCTATTCAGGGCATGGCGTCGGGCAGCAAGTCAGCGCAAGCAGTAGTCAGCCACCACAGGACGCTATGCTCATGACCCCTCTGAAGATCACGTAGTAGCAACAGGTGGGAACCAACCTGTGCCAAATCACCACTGTAAGCACTTCACCGTGTCAGCTTTTAATAAATATGAACTTCCTCTCTGACGAAAAATACAAAAAGATGACACTGGATATTCCAAATGAGATACAACCTCCCCAAATTAACAATCCAATTGCGTCAGACACCAGAACTTGCACAGCAGCAGGTAACATAAAAAACCCCCATGAACCCCAGTGAAAAATAAAGAGCACTACAACAAAACCTTAAGGTAAGAAACCCATAGGAGCCCTTAACTCACCTCCTGACCAGACTTTGCAGAATTTTCTGAATGGAGAGATTCAATTTCCCCTTCAATCATTGCAGCTTCTAGGCACTCATGTAGATCTTTAAAGCCGTTAACCTGGAGTGGATACTGGCCAAACATTTCTGTGTTTTCAAATTTTTTACCTTCACATAAGAAATTAAACAGTTAAGGTTTTAGGAGCAAACATTTACCTTTAAAAAAACCTAACAATCCTAGGTCTCCTGACCTGGACTAGTGAACAATACCCGCATGTTTTCTTATGGAGCAGTTCAATTATATGTATCAAAACAAGTTACTCAAAAAGGTCGCTTGAACATAATATTGAAAATTACTGTGTTCTCCTCTTCAGACCTTTTTGTATATTGTTTTTGCATCTATTTGCAATTAAAAAACCCTCAAAATAACTTGTCACCAGAGATGTACAGGAAGTTTTACAGATATACCTCAAAGTCCTTCTCCTGTAGTTAGCAGCTTAGTAACACAACCCTACATTGTACCAGCAAAGACACTGAAATTGCTGGTATGAAACAGCCCTTTGTGTAAATATATCTTGCAAAAATAAACCACATAAGAGAACGTTCATGATTTCTGTCTTGAAAACAAGATCATGATTCAGTAGCAGATTAGGAGAAATATGGGAGACAAGTGGTTTCAATCTACAGTTTCAATCTATTTCATTCTAAAGTCAGTAACAAGTCTTTTTATATTCACCAGTTTCTTTTCACTGGCCTGGTTTTTTACATATCTCCTCAGTTAAGTCAGGGATGTAAGGATGAAAGGAGCAAGAATTATAGCTAGTAGCAAGAAATCTGCAGAATGGTTTTGAAATATGACAGCAAATCATGAAATACACCATTCTAGGCCATGTAACAACCTGAAAGCCACTTTAAAAATTACAGCTGCTTCATTCAAACGCATCTCAGGAGTCATGCACTCTTGGGATGAGGGACAGAATCACCAACATTAAAAGTACTTTCACAACTGCTGGCATTCTGGAAATAGAGAACGCTACAGATCCACTAATTATATGCAGGTAAGGATAAAGAAAAGCTTGTTGTACAGTCTTTTCCTCCTCTCTCCAATACCACCTTTGAGTAGGTTTCCACTGACTTGTTTTCAACAAGCTGTACTTTTTAGAGGGTGAGTTATCCATACCTGATATTGCACAGAAAATGCAGTAATTTAAATTTTAAATTACATTAAATGAAGCGGAGAGAGAGCAAGAGACTAGTTCAATGAAATAAAGCAACTTCTCTATGCCATTAGTAAGCAGCAAAAGTGCCCTGACAATAAATTTCTTCCAAGAGTTTTTGCTCAGCTTCTCACTCAAACTTCTACTGCACTTAAGTACGTACACTCAGCTCCTGAAAGCTAGCACACAATGCTTAAAGTTGGAAGGGACCTTAAAGATCATCTAGTTCCAAACCCCCTGCTGTGGGCAGGGACACCTCTCTCCCACTAGCCCAGGCTGCTCCAAGACCCATCCAACCTGGCCTTGAACATCTCTAGGGATGGACCATCCACAATCTTTGGGCAACCTGTGCCAGTGCCTCACCACTCTCATGGTGAAGAATTTTTTGCTTATATCTAATCTAAATCTACCCTCTTGCATTTTCAGGCCATTGCCCCTTGTCCTATCACTACAGGGCCTTTTAAAAAAGCTGGCCCTCTCCAGCTTTCCTTTAGGCCTCTTTCATGTATTGGAGGGCTGCTATGAGGTCACCCCAGCACCTTCTCTTTTCAGATCACTGTAGCTCACTAAATTCAGTCTCGTTCTCCAGAAAATCCTTTTGTCACAGACTGAACGCATATTCTCCAAGTATACCTCTGCAGAAATAGCTAAAATGCTACGACTTGCATCATTCACCTGTGTATTTAGACAGGCACTGAACAGACACAAGCACAGAAGTCCAAACAAATTCAGACACATACCTTCAAGCACACCTACTGCTAGAAATCGTCCATAAAACAACTCCACCATTGGGTTCTTTGGTTTCTCTCCATCCCTGAAAACAGAAAGTGTGTCGGTGTAAAAATCAAACATAGAGCTATGAACTTTTATAGAACTATGAGCAGAATATTCTGAATCCCTTACGGAAATGCTGCCTATTTTACTCCGTTACTGTTCATTTAGTTTTGTACTTTCCTCTAATGACAATAATAATGATTCACTTATTCACAATGATACATATATTCCAAAACCTAAGTCTCAGAAGTGTTTCATTCTAGGAAAATTGATGTAAATGAGATTCAGTTCATGAATTATTAAATTGTACAAAACCCCAGTAAAAACAATTTCCTGCAACACTCTAGAAACCCCTATGTATTCAAAGGACAGTTTACAGATGTTTGCTTATATAAAGAGCATTACTTCTGAAAAGGGAAACAGGAGCAAAGTTTTGAAATATTTGAATTACAGTACTGAAAGGGAAAACTGCATTCGAATGAAAAAAAAAAAGCCTAACTGATTAAATACAAAACACAACTTTATCCTTCCTATACTTTGGACCTCGTTCAGCAAGATTGCTAACATGAAATAAGACAATGAAAAAAGACAACTCATGGAAAATCAAAGGTATCAGCCTGTAAGGAAAAAAACCCACATGAACTAAAACAAGCTTTTTCACCCATACAGTGAGAAGTGGATTTTTGGTTGTTTGGTTTGCTTTTTCTCATCAAAATGTTCGGTATACAGAGCTGGGGAAAACCAAATCGAAACAAAATGCACCACCTTACCTCTCTTCTTCAGCTTTAATTTGGAAGGCATCTTCTAGCCAATCTAACAATTTGTGTGTAAATTCGCTAACATCTTGCTGTTGAAAAACACACAGTGATCAGTGTTATGTTCACATACATAACAGACCACAAAGAAGCATCATGTTACAAGATCAGCATAGCGGTATTCACCTTCACAAGAGCTCCAAAATCACACTATATCTAAGGCTACGACACGATTGGTTTTTCAGGGATGGCTTCTTAAAGCACGCTAAGGCTCTGGTGTTCCTCGGCCATTACACTGTCCTGCAATTCTTGTTACATGGGCTCAGCTTTCATACCATGCTAGTCCAAAGGCATCTTATGAATCCCATTGTTCAATCCCTTTGGTATCTAACAAGTGGTGACTCACGTTACTTTCATCGAGCACTAAGTTCAGCATGCTGTTGTAATTAAACATCTTAGTCACATAAGCTCATGTGGGAAAAAATAAAGCATCTGAAGAAACAAGTGTTTCTCAGGAAACAAAGTGTACCCACTATGATTTAGGTGAGAATCCTGAGTATGAATATTAGGACCCTCCAAACCAGTATCTACACAGACAAATAGTGTACTAGGACTGTATCAGCCTTGCATGTACTTTGAGATCAGAAGAATAAAATTCTTTCAGACTTAGAAGCTAAACTAAACACTAACAGCAAGAATATGGAACTATTCGTTTCTAAAATAATAGGAAAAAATAAAAAAGCCATCCAGAATATTATTATTATTAATATTCGTTTTAATAGAAGTGACTAGGGATCACAAAATATTAGAGAATAAGCTCAAAGACGATGATAATTAGGAGTTTCTTTTCTGTGAACATTTTGGATCTTTGTTGTCCATTTTAAGTAGTTCCTATTGCCAGATGACCATATGAAAAAAAGCTTGAATGGAAACACACAGAAATTACCTGTTGGGAATCATTTGATTTAAAAGCATCTTTAAGAATTTCAACTGCTCTTGATGGGTCAACATATTTTCTCTTTGAGCCAACTAGAAGAGCAAACAGGTACCTCAATTCACGCATGAAAGGCAGATTCCTATGTTCCTGTATTTGAAGAAGAATTAAAAATATTTAACAAAGTGGTAACAAAAACCTACTCTGCATATTGTTTACCTAATGAACACAGAGTATATCTGGCCAATCATCATCACAACATATAAGTTTACTTGTAGTGCTACTAAGACAGCATCACATGCCTTTTAACTGTCAGTTTTACAAAATCATGTTGTTCTCTGGGAAGAAAATCACATTTCAGAAACTGAAAGCTCCCCAAAATCACACCTAAATGTGTGATTCGACTTGACATGGGGCTGAATGGACAAACGGACGAGCTGAGTTACATTTAAGACAGAATTGTTGTTCCCAAGACTCACAAAGCCTGAAATACACTGCAAACAACCTTCTATACCTGTAGCAGAAATTCTTGTGAGCCTACACACTATCCAGGACCTTTTTAAGCTCATTTTTTACTGAAGACTAAAGTTAAGGTGTACACAAGTCATTACTATCTCTTCACTGTGAGAGTAGTGAGGCACTGGCACAGGTTGCCCAGAGAAGCTGTGGATGCCCTCTCCTTGGAAGTGTCCAAGGCCAGGCTGGATGGGGCTTCCAGCAACCTGGTCTGGTGGGAGGTGTCCCTGCCCATCGCAGGGGGGTTGGAATGAAATGATCTTTCAACCCAAACCAGTCCATGACTCTTGACAGAAGTAGAAGAAATAGTCTGCTCTCTTTCCACCTATTTTTTTAAGTATTGTTCATGGGGAATATGGAGTTCTTTTTCCAGTTTCCAGAAGAGAAGCAGAAGAAATACTTTACTTGCTTTTCATTATGCAGGCAGAAATTGAAACACAAACATGTCATACCATAGATTAAACCACAGGTTACAAACGCTGAGGAGATTGGATATCGCTCATATTCCCAAGTAAATAGATAGTTAATTAAAACTTGTCAAACTAAAACCCATGTAATATCCACTTGTATTTAGACCAAAGTATCATTTGAAGGCAGCACAGCTATCAGATCCTGGTTAAACTGGAATTACTTGGTGACAAACTATTTCACATGTTTAAACAGCAGACTTGTTTAATCACTCCTCTGTCAATCCGGTATGCATAAAGCTTTTTGTACATTAAGTTTGTTTTATTTCAGCTTTAAAGCCGTGTGGTGAATTAGAATGTTTCACATAATACCTAAAAAGATATTTCTAGTCATGTAAATTCCCGAGTTTTACTCGCTCTACCAGTCCACCTTGCAAAACATCTGCCGATTATAAACAATTTTCACAGAAATGGGCTGAAGACTTCAACAAATATCACCTTAATTCACCATTAGACCATCATAATTTAAGGATAAAATCAGTCTCCCAGTTATATATTTAAAGCACTTTATAACAAGAAAACAGTGAAAGAAACTGTGAAAGTGATTTTTTCTATTTTCATAAAGTGATCTATTAGAAGTTTTAGATACAAATAAATTTTATCAAGATCTTTCGGTATCAGTGATAATTTATACGCATAACATAGATGACTGACTACAGAATACTCTAGGTCTCACCTTCCTTTTGTTAAAGTCTGAAGTACACAGGCAGTGAGTATCATTGCATTACTTATCCAAATTTACACTACTAATTTGACTGAGTTTTAAGTATACTTGTAGCTTTAGGTCGAACAACTGGCTACTGGTATCAGTAGGATTACTCAGAACAAATATCTCTGTAAAGCCTATAAAAGTTCCCTAAAACCAGAAAAATCCCTGTTGTTTTTTGAGAAATTTAATACATTAGGCATGACCCTTGACCAGATTATGTGGGCATTACCACAACAAACAGTGATTCTGACTAAACAAAGCGTAAAATCTTTAAAAGGATGTGAGCCAGTCCCAAAGGCCAGCTATACAGCTTCACAAAGGATCTGCACATTAAAACAAAAGAACTAATAAAGATTGATAGAAGAGCATCTGGCTCTCAATTTTTAAGCACACTGTATGTGCACCAACACAAAAAAAAATTTAAATCAATTTTGAAACAAAATCTATGTGGAAAGGTCATAATCTACAATATTCTCTATCTTAACATGTATCCTGCCTGCATAAACAATAATTTCTTAATATACTGATGTCAGAACAATTTACAATTAAGAAATGCTTCTAAAGCAATCTACCTGTTTAATACAAGGCAAACATTCATTACTGCCGATCAGTATGCCAGGACATCGGCATAATGATAATGCTAAAACAGGGGGAAGGATGTGCTAACCTGTAGCACAGTAACCCACTTCCTCTCATAATAAAAGGTTTCCTGTAGATGTCGTTGAGGTCAATATTTAGCCAGCCCCGCTGTGTACTGCAAAAAAGATCTGTTCACATGACAGCAACAGAAAAGAACTGGGAGAGCCAAGAAGCTGCAGAAACCACAGAGAACTGTATTTGCTCTACAGAAAGAAGCTGAGGAACACACCAAGGAAGAAAAATGAATTGCAAATGAAAAAGAACAAAAACAGATTGTCCAAGTTTAAAATCCAGAAAAGCAAAGTCCAATTAGGTGGGACAAACAGTGTGGAGTGGTTGTTTTTCGGTGCTTTTTAAAGTCAAAATTTATACCAATGACTTCTGGATGAAAAATTCAACCTGCCAAATTATTAATAGCATTTGGATTCAGTATATTGATGGGAAGGAACAAAACCACCATGCTATGCAATCAGTACTCCCTGAAGTAAAACTACATGCTTTAATTCTAAATTAAGAGATTGCCATGACCCTAGCATTAAACTTTACTTTCCACAACCTGGAAGAACAACAGGAAGTATCCAAAGTCTTGAAAAACTGGGATTATTAAAACTTGCCCTTTATTAGCATGGAATTTTGATCCTAGGGAATGTCAGTCACATATAATACTTGGCTTTGTTTTGGTTTTTATTTTTAACCAACTATTAAGTCAAGACAGTTCTAAAACAAGCAAGCAGAGAGAAGTAAATTTCAGGGCTGCTTTTTTGTCAACTTTATATTACAACTTTACATCAATTTGCCTTTACTTCCCTTGCTTTATAAAGGAATAAAAGCACCGTATTTGGGGTGATGCACGCTTCTCTCTTCTACTTGTCTAAGTTCCAATTACTGAAGCTATCTCTTTCTCCCCAAAACTTATTTCAACACTAAGTCAATCCTTTTTCAGCTGTAGGTAAGACAGAAAAGTACATCAACTGATAATGTTATTTCATTCTGGAATCTAAGTTAATCAAGATGATACAAGCTACTGCCACAGATTCTTACTAGCAGGCCTGCAGAACGCAAGGTTTCTGCACAAATCCATATAATTGCCTGGTGTCACCATTTCATGCAGCCTTGATATTGTCTGTCATGGTCAGATTTCTAAGAAATAACAATTTAGAATTGCTAAAGGCATTCAACTTTTAGTGTTGATGTTTGGGCAAGATGTTTTTCACACACAACAGCTTGCTATTATCTATTTCACACCACCTCTTAGATGCCAACTGCTTTTTATGCCCTGAAAAATGAAGGTAAAGAACTCTGAGTAGTGGGAGATATTACTCAAACAAATCATATGATGAACAATGAAACACCAGGTAGAAAGTCAATTTCAAAGATAAATTAAAAAATAAGTATTTCAGTACAACTCTTTGGTAAACCATGACTTTACCAAAGTTATCCTGTCTTTCTTACCACAATACACTGTCCCATCACACTCATGACATACTCCCAGATACTATCCATGTTGTATTTGTACACCATCTCATGACTTAATGCAAACATTATTTTCTTAAGTCATACAAAAAAAAAAAGTGACAACTTGCTCTTTTAATGGGGGCGGGTGGGAGAGAGCAGGGAAGAAATAGTGCAGTTCTGACTGAACATTCAGCTTTGCTTTTATGGCACATACCTAGAGGTTTAGAAAATGGACACTCCTCTATGTCTGTTTTCTTTTGTTTTTTTAATTGCAGCTCCTTCTTTTGCAAGTGAACATTCCAGTCAAGCCTGAAGTGCCAAACAACTAAGAACAGGCCATCAGCACACTCCCCTTTTAAAATGCAAGAGAAAGGAGCAGAAGACAACTGTCTAATTTCTGGATATGTAAAAAATCTCACTGCTTTGTAAGCCCTTGTTAAAATTCAGGGCATCGAGTGCCTTCATGCTTCATACAGCCACTTCCTTTTCCCATTTTTTTTATTTCTGTTTCATAACACAGAAGCCAAGGTGTCCCATGTATCTCTCCTCAGAGGGCATTCACAAAGGAAAAGAAATGGGTCTGTTTTGTCCCTCAGTCTGTGACCATTCCCTCTCGCTAGTCTGAGGTCACAAGAAATTAGAGTCAAGGCCTCCACTCCTCAATTTCATATGAACAGCAGAATAAACATGGGAAAATTTATTCTTACAATCACTTTATGAAAACGCCAGGAGAGAGAAGCAAATAACTGCAAGTATAATCTCAGATCATGAATTACAGGTAATTAATAACCTAAAAAAATACAATGAAGTGACCAGGTCAACACTAACAACACTGCTGACAAATCACAGAATCATTTAGGTTGGAAAAGACCCTTGGGATCATCGAGGCCAACCATTAACCCTACTCTACAAAGCTCACCCCTAAACTATATCCCCCAACACATCTAAACGACCTCTAAACACATCCAGGGCTACCTCTATGGGTAGCCTATTCCAATGTCTGACTACACTGTCTGTGAAAATTCTTTTCCTAATGTCCATTTCAAACCCACCCTGTTGCAGTTTGAAGCCACTCCCTCTTGTTCTATTACTAATTACCGGTGAGAAGAGACCAGCACCAGCCTCTCTACAATGTCCTTTCAGGTAGTTGTAGAGAGTGATGAGGTCTCCCCTCAGCCTCCTCCTCTTCAAACTAAACAGCCCCAGCTCCTTCAATTGCTCTTCCTAAGATTTACTCTCCAGGCCCTTCACCAAAATCACAGAATGTCAGGGGTTGCAAGGGACCTTGAAAGATCATCTAGTTCAACCCTCCCGCCAGAGCAAGATCACCTCGAGTAGGAACCAGCTTCATTGTCCTCCTCTGCACTCACTCCAGCACCTTGACATCCCTCTTGTACTGAGGTGCCCAAAACTGGACACAACACTTGAGGTGAGGCCTCACCAGTGCTGAGCACAGAGGAACAATCACCTCCCTACTCCTGCTGGTCACACTGTTTCTAATGCAAGTCAGGACACCATCGGCCTTTTTGGCCACCCAGGCACACTGCTGGCTCATGTTCAGCCACTCGTCAATTAGAACTCCCAGGTCCTTTTTTGCCAGGCAGCTTTCCAGCCACACTTCTCCAAGCCTGTAGTTTTGCCTGGGGTCATTGTGGCCTGAGTGCAGGACCTGGCACTTGGCCTTGTTGAAGCTCATCCCATTAACCTTGGGCCGTTAATCCAACCTGTCCAAGTCTCTCTGTCTTTCTGACAAAAGTATACAGCACAAAAACAAAAGGCTAACCAAAAAGCATGCCCATAGCTGCACAGTGTGAGGAAACTAGAATAAAATATGCTGGCTAACACAACTATGTTCACATCAGAAATGTTCTTCCACTAGGAGCACTGCTGCTACGAGCCCTTCCAACTGAACCTGGGCTAAACAGCAGCACACTCCGTCTCTCTCAACACCCTGCTCTGCACTCTAATGTGAGGCTAACATTTTATATAAGATCCGTAACAGAAACCTCAGAGAAATGTTAACTGGCACCTATAAAATCCATGCTAATTTCAACTAAAAACCAGAGCAAAATTCAATTACAAGAGAAACACCCTTATCAGTCACCAAGGGTAGTTAGCTTCTGATTTTACCTTTTGGTTACGGGGCAAGTCTTGAGCATTTGCAGGAGGATTGAAATTCAAAACTAGTCTTCGAAACTCCAGTAGGTTAAATAATGACTGAAAAGAACAAAAAAAATTAAGAAGTTGAAGCACTTCTACAAACAAGACCACATTCTTCCAAACACACCTTAGTGAAATAAATGAAATATTAAGCTTATGCAATGCTAAGGTTTCATTTCAGAAGCTAGATTATTTTATTTATCTTTGCTAAATACATTTTCACTAGAAGATAATTATTTTTGCAAAGAAAATAGCATAGTCAAAAAACCACACCTTATTAACACTTAATTGCATAAAAGGAACAAAATAATTACAGATAATAAGAAAATTACTTTTTACAACAAGAATTTTATTCATTGTATATCCATCAGTTTTCAAATTGAAATTAAAGCCTGTTTAGCCACGTACATCTTGTAGCCCCCTCAGTCATCTGTCTCCTCTGTGCAGAGAGAGTACATCTTTGCAAACGCAACTTAAATCCACTTGCAATTAATTACCTGTACTTTTTATATTCTGCCTACTCCTCCCATTATTACAGGATCTGAATGATGTACATTAGAGTAAGGAAAGTGGGTTACATATGTTTGCAGGTAAGGAACTGATAACATTCTCATTTTACAGACAGTAAGACATGAAAACAATTGTGTACAGGCACACCCACAAAAAACCTCACAGTGTAAGACAGAGCCTGGAGCCAAGAGAGGACAAGAACGAGGCAACAATTCCAGGTTAGAAAAAAAAAAAAAAAGTCCCAAGTTGTGGTTGAGATCTGAAGTCCTCAGCACCTGCGTAACTGCATCACTGCTTTTCTGTACAAGCAGAAAGGGCTTGAACTAAAGTTCACTTTTTTACCACAGACTAGGGTTTGGATGAAGACAAGGCAGCAGAAAAGGTCTAAAGTATTTTTAACATGTTCATCAAAGGAGCACAAGAAAGTTTTGCCCTCCTATTTGTACCCTTTGGTTTTACAATCTATAATTAAACTTTCCCCCTCATGCCAATCATATATTAGCCATTTATTTTGGAAAGACAGAGCTTGCCTACCCCAGTAATAGACTGCAACTTGTCCTACACAGGTGAAGTCACAGACCACAGTGGGTTTAATACGATTTCAACCCCACAGTGCCAAGAAAGTGAAACTTAGTGAAAAGACACCGCATTTATTCCAATAATTTAGAACATATTGGAAAGCAAAAAGACGCTTGAAAAGTTGCAACATTTCTGCCTCCTCTCATGAAAGAGCCTGTACCAAGTTTAATCTCTTCCCATACCAGACAGTATACAGCAACTCCTACCATTTTTTAAATTTGAAAATGTAATAACTAAAAAAATCCCACGAATCACAGAAGATCTTTTTGACCTTCCTAAGTCAATACAGACAATTGAGTAGTCAAGTCTTTTTTATTTTTTTTTCCTCCTATTTTGCTGTTCAAAATACAGGTTCCCCTTTTAGGCATCCTTGCAGAGAAGGCAGACTAAAACACAGTGTCCTTTGTTTACTTACTCAAAGCATAAAAAATGTTAATATTTAATTAAAGTGTCATTCTAGAAGTTGATACTAATTGAAGTTATGTGTCATGATGTAACAGCATTCCACTGGTGGGCTCTTCATCAAACAAAACATAGCAATGTCTTACATACAAAATAAACCAGTTGCTGAAATATCATGTCCAAAGACTGACTTCTCTCCATGACTAATCCAAGTGCGATCAAAGTTCCAAGCAGCTGAGCTGGCCAATTTTGTAATACACAGACATGAATTAAGCACATAAAACCATACTGAAGTTTAGAATTTTTGCCTGGCATTCAATCCACAAGTTTTTCCCCAAAAATGTATTTCTTTAATTCAGAACTTTAAACTGTGAATATGTAACTCCACACTTTACTAAGCTGAACAAACCTATTTCTGCAGGCTGCTGAGAATAATTAAGAGGATTGTCTTATTATATTCTTTTTTTGTCTTTGTTCTACACAAAATTTCTTATGCAAGATATTTAGTTATCAAATTATTTTGCAAAACAGCTTATGCTCTTCTAAACCAACTTCAGGAAACTTCAAGAGGGGAACTTCAAGTGCAAGTGTAAGCAAGTATATAACTAGTGTGCCCAAGACCAACCAATTCTGAAGTTCCTCAAGGAGGAAACTATGGTTCTTCCTGAGGTAAGGAGATATAAATGAGCTTGCCTCAGCCTTCATTGCAGCAGAGGCTTCCCATGGCCAACCACCCTTGTTCTTCCTTCAGAAAGGGGCTAGGCTAAACAACTCCCAGTTTGCCGAGCCACCTGCTGACTAGGCTTTCTACACCCAGGGTAGGCGACACCATGGAGCAGAAGCTGCTCTGCTGCAGCCACTGAGAGAGACACAGCAGAGGCTCTCCCTGGCCGGTGCCACCGGCTGGTCCCAGGCCAAAGCACCAGCCTTCCAAAGTCATTGCATGGGGCAGCGCTTCATCTCTTATCCACCTGGCTTGCTTCAGCTAGGGAAAAATGTCAGAAGCCCCAGTGCAAGAGAACAGGCTGGATGTAAAAGGTGGATACTTCGTATCTACTGGCCTTCATCAAATATACATAAAATCCACTAAAGTATGCAAAACTTATGTATGCAAGGAAAATTCTCTACAAGTTGGGGTGTTGGGTTTTTTCCTAGAGTATTTAAACCTATTTAAAAACTGTCATCTGGAAACGTGACCAAGCTACGGCTAAAGTTAAGTTACATCAATTCAATTTATCATGAAAATTAACAGATTTTTTATCATGTCTGTCTCTTATTATGTCTGTTTGGGTGCTGAACAGGATAGAAGAAAGTGAGAATAAACAGAACAGCAGTAAAAATCTAGTGTTGGTTTAGGGCTTTTACACTAACCGTGCTGAATGACAGCAGAGATACTGTGGCTTCCCCCTGCTCGAGGTGGTGATAACGTAGACATATTTTCTGTCAGGCCAGAAAGACCTAGGCAGAATTGTACAGGACTGTAAGATACTAAAATCACTCATTTTTCTGAGTAATGTCTACCCACACTCTATATAAAGTCCAAATGCAACTTCAGAATATCAGCTGCCTTGTTTTCACCTAAAAGACCCTGCTTATCCCTTTCTCCACCCTTAATGTCTAGGATTATTAAAAGTAAGGTCCTTGGCAGAATTTAGGTTGCCTGAGTAAAGGATTAATTCTTAACATTCAAGAACTGTGATGATGCATTAATACCGCAAGAATATAAATTAGTCAGCATATTAAATCCATAAAGACTTGGCAAGCAACACAAATCATTAAAAGCCACCATCAGAGTCCTAAAATAGTAGTTACTGTCACCAACAATACTCAGAGAGTAGGAAAATTGTACTTCAGCGTCTAGATAAAAGATGAGCTATCAAGATGCCGCACAAAGCCTTAAGCAGGCTCTTTGATGGATTCTTGCAAGTTCCAAAAGCACAGGGCACTAAATACAGCTGTTTCACTAACAGACCTATGAAAACCTTTTATTTTCTTTGACAAGCAATTTTGCATTTGTTTCCACCATTGAGATCACAAAAGCAAAGAATTTTGCACAAGAACTGGGACATTTTTAGTACTAATCACCTTTATAAAAGTTTACACAAAAACCTTAATTTCATGCTACTATGAACACAACCATCTTGCCATTCAATTCACAAAGGTTAAGCCTGGAAGAAAGGACTTTCAAAAATCACTGTTACTAATGAAGCTTAGCAAACAAAACAGAATATACCCACTGACACACAGCTGCAACACCAGTGGCACATCGTGAAATGAGGTCATCGTTCAGGTTTCTTTCAGAACAGCGTTCAGGTTTCTTTCAGAACAGCCCCGAGAAAATCTGTGTAACCTCCATTCTTGCAGTAGCCCAGTTTGCAGGCTCCCATTTACCAAAGTGAAAGGGATTAACAACAGGTAAGGATGCCATGACTAGTGCAGGTATGCTAACAGTACTTACACGCCAGAAGTAAACACGGGCTAGGAATTTGTTCAAATTAGTACTAAGGCTTGAGATTTAAATGGAGAAAAACAGAAATACTAACTTGAATTTTGGTAAAGAAAATTTAGGAAGGACTTAACTTGGCTAGAAATCAAAACCAAAATACATATTAATAGCACAGCTTGAAAAGTAGCTTTTCAGCAGGGTGAAAGAAAACCATGAATTCCTACAGAGCTCCTAAACAAAATGCTTCAGGTACTGGCATTTACCTAAAACATGATCTTGTGTAAGTTGAAAGCTTATATATGCATTAATACACCAGAACATCTAATTGCCTCATTTAGTCATCTGGGGCCTTTAATGCATTTACTTTTACATGCATTTAGATTTTTTAAGTCACCAAGCGGGGACCATATCTACCTTCATTTTGTATAACAGGCAGAGAGCAATCTTAAAGAACAAATATATTATTGTTCTAAAAATAAAAAGCAAAAATAGAGCTCTGCGTCACTAAGTACATTATTTGGAATAGTTTGCCTCTGCCAACATGACAAATTAGACTTATGGTCTTACTTCACTTTATAAACAATGTTGGTAGTTTACTGTATATAGCATTCTAGCGAGGTAGGTCAGCCATTATTAGGGTTAACTTTAATTTAGATTGTTCTCATAAATAAAAAGATAACACTGAACTCTATGGAACGTATGCTCCCACCTGCACGCATGACTGTATGTTCCTTCCAATAACATTAAGAACTTTAAATTTACTAGTTAACAATACTGAAAGTGCTAAGGGTTCAACATAAGAGTCTCTCTAATTATTGCACTTAAGCTTATTAGTGACTTAACACTTCTGCACGCCTCAGATTGAATATTACATCCAGCACGGCTCCATACAGCAAAAACGTAGGCACGTTCACTGGAAACTAAAGGCCACTTCTCTCCAACTTTCCAGTCTTTTGGAATACCACTAATCTGTGAGAATCACTTCTCTCTCCTCTTTATGGCCTTCTCCACTTTTTCTCTTTATTGATCCGTTTTACTCTTTTACCTTTTGGTTAACATTCTTGAACCTATTTTTCTCACAGCATAGTCCCTGAAGTGGCTGCTTGTTACCACTGCGCTG